GGACCCGAGAACAATGGCAATGGGGTTAGAAATTGAATCCCTGGAGCCCTGAGATGTAAAAAGTGGGTTGATCTAGGGTTGAGACCGGTCCTCACATGATATGGCTTGGTGATTCTGTCTTGTCTCCATGCAGATAGAGCAACCACCCTGCCTCTCTCTCCTCCTCTGCCTGTAGCAGCCCCTAAAGGAGGCTGCAGTGGGTCAGCCCCACGAGAGCCCTGCCAGGCATGGGTGGTGCTGAATCTATGCCATCCACAGTGGCAGTGCTTGAGACACACCGCATTAGCTCCAAGTTGGGGGTCCACAGAGAGTCCAGCCTGCGCTCTGGGAAGCAGAGCCTGCAGGGTGTGGTGAGAAGGGAAGCCATTGGCTCTAGTACTACTGACAGTTATTCTGGTGGCCCGAGTGTGTGGGTGTATATGGACAGGGCACACACACACATACACGCAGCAGTGAGCTAAGGATCCTTAGTTCACACAACTCAAGGGACAAGGGAATGCTTTCTTCTCAAATTAACTTGTTTCCAGTGACTAGTGTCCTTATGAAATGCTAAGCTGTCAGTTGCCCTCACTCTGAGGAGAGGCGCGGCAGAGTAGCACGGGGAGGGTAATGCCCAGCTTTTGGCTATGGGGTCTAATCACACACACACACACACACACACACACACACACACACACACACCAAGCCTCTAGCTCCCTCCTGCCTTCAGCCCCAGCCAGGTTGTACTCAGATGATCTGGACGCTGGTGCTGTGCTGAGGCAGGTCATGGGCAGGGAGGCTCTGGCGGGGACTTCGTGGGATGAGATCATCCCATGGGATGTTGAGGACACCTGTGCTAATCCTGGCCACCCACAGAATGATGCAACTCGGGGCTTTAGCTCACAGTGGGAACAGTGCTCGCTTTACAGCTAAGCCTGCCCAGAGTATGTTCCTGGCAGACCCAGCTGCAGGCTTGCCTTCCCTGCTCCTGCTTCTGTTCCCAGGTCTCCTTGTGCCCTCTGCTTCCACCCCAGACCTCTGTCAGGAATGCCCCTCCTTTCTGCCTCTTTAAAAAAAATTAATAAATAATTTTATAACAATCCATACATCAATTGCATGGAGTACATTTGTACATATGTTGTCATCATCATTTCTAAAACATTTTCTTTCTACTTGAGCCCTTGGTATCAACTCCTTTTTTCCCCCCCTCCTTCCACCTCCTGTCTGGCTCTTATTTGTTTTTCATTTACTCTCTTCCATCCAACAGAGTTTTATGAAGTACCTACGTTGGGCCAGGCCCCGGGGTGGGTGCTGAGGCAAAGGCAGTGAGTAAGAGATGCTTCTTGTCCACCTGGGACCTAAATGGAGCAGGGGAGGATGGGTGTGGAAGCAGCCACTGACAGTGCTGCCATCAGAGCCATGATGGGGACATCCTAGTGATGCTAGAGCTTGGGGAGAGTCACCAAAAACACATTTCCTGAAATTCCACTCCTCCTTCAAGGGCCAGCTCAAATGCCACTCATACCATAAAGACGCTCCTGCTTCCCCAGCCAGAGGTGACCACTCGCTCCCGAGCACTTCGCTTATGTATTGCTTGGCTCACCCATCCACCAGGATGGAATGAGTGCCGAAGGTGCCCATTCTGGGGACACAGCCGTGAACAACCTAGAGAAGAGTCAGCTCTGCAGTCCAGGCAGGGGAAGGTGGACGGGAAACTAGCAACCTGGTGTCAGGTGTGGACATGTCCCAGGATGAGAAGTGGACCGAGACCCAGGATTCAGGCGCCAGGGCTGGAGAGTTGCTGTTGTACCAAGGTTGTGCTGAAGGCCCCTGGAGGGATGTCCAGTGTGCACAGAGGCCTGGGAGACACAAGGTCAATGCTTGTTTGCCTGGTGTTGAGAGGTGGAGCCATCAAGGGGGTGAGTGGGAGGTGAAGAGCCCAGAATGGTACTGGGGGCTGGGTCACAGAGCAGGTGGAGACTGGTGTTTCGGGGTGTTTTGAGAGGAGCCCTGGTGGCATAATGGTGAACAGCCTGGATGCTAACCCAAAGGTCTGTGGTTTCAACCCGCTAGCTGCTCTGTGGGAAAAGCTGTTTCTGTAAAGATTACAGAACATGGACACCCTAGGGGGCAGTCAGAACGGACTCCTCAGTGATGGGCTACTTCTAGTGGATTTGTTTTTTTTAGTTCACTCTTTATTTGATTTACACGATATTATTATTATTACTTTTTTAAAAAGTTTTTTTAAACTATTATTTTTTTGACAAGCCACGTGTTAGCGGTAATTTGGGGATGGCTACATTCTTTTTCCAGGAGCCCTGGTGGCACAGTGGTTTAGGCTGCTAACCTCTCCTGCTAGACTTGTCCCATGTAAGCAGGCAGCCGCCCTGGCTCACTGCTCTGTCCCCATCATCGTCACAACGGTGCCTGTTCTGCTCCGTCCTGCAGGGTCACCGTGAGTCGGAATCCACTCAGCAGCGACGGTTTTTGTTTTCAGGGTGCTTTGCAAACAGATAGCGCTTGACTGCTAACTGAAAGGTTGGTGGTTCAAGTCCCCCAGAAGTGCCTTGGAAGTAAGTCCTAGCGATCCGTTCCTGCAAGATACACTCCTGTTGAAACCCGGAGGATCACAGTTCTACTCTGACAGACACGGGGTTGCGATGAGTCAGCGTCCGGGTGATGACCGCTGGTTGGAGGCGCTTTGAACAGGGCACTCGATGGGCTGACTTAAAACAAAACCACTCTGGCTGGTGTGACACGAACAAGATGAAGAGGGACAAGGATGGGAGTAGTGAGATCTGAAGGCATGTTTGTTACAGAAATGTGTTTGAGAGGATGGTTATATGGACCAGGCGGATCGTGGCAAGAAGTGACTGTAAGCTGAATACACTCTGCCAGGAGAGCTGGACAAGAAGGCCCACTGAGAAGACGTGAGGAAAAGGAAGGGTAACTTGAGAGTTTTGGCCTGAGCCACTTTAGAAGCATGAAGCTCCCTTTTAACGAGGGCTGTGGTAGCTGCCTTAGAAAGGGAAACGGGGAGTCTGACTTGGCCATGTGAAGCTTGGTGACTCATCAGCATACAGAGATTACAAAGCCATGGACAGGATTAGATCCTTAGGATGTGCCTTTCCACGGAGGATGGACCATGGTCCTGAGACCTGCGCCCTGGAGCTCTCTAATGTTTATTTACAGGCCTTGCTGATGAACAGGTTCGAGGGAAGGGGACTGTGACTTAGAAGGCGCACCTGAGGGCGCAGTGTCCCAAGCCCAGTGAGGAAAGGGCTTCAGGGCATGGGGTCTGTGCCGCTGACAGACTGGACAGATGAGGCAAAAGGGTCGACGGCTGTGTTTGGCAATGTGCAAGTCATGGGTGACCTTGGCTGGAGCCATGATGGGGCAGAAGCCCAACTGACGGGGAGGAAGTAAAGCCAGTGAGTCTGACAGCTCTTTCAAGGGGATGTTCTGTAGAGGAGGAGGCGCAGGGGAAGGCGGACTAAATGAAGATCTCTTTTATTTTTATTTATTTTTATAATCATTTTATTGGGGCTCATACAACTCTTGTTACAGTCAATGCATCAATTGTATCAGACATATTCGTGCATATATTCCATTGTTCTTTTCTAGACATTTACTTTCCATTGAGCCCTTGGGATCAGCTCCTCTTTTTTTCCTTCCCTCCCCGCCCCCACCCAACCCTTGTGGCCCCCTGATAGATTGTAGATTGTTAATTATTTTCAAATCTCATACCGACCGCTGTCTCCCTTCCCCTCTGGTTTCTGTTGTTCTTCCCCCTGGATGAGCGTGTGTGGTTCTGTGCCATTCATTGTGATCGGTGGCCTCCTTCCTCCCCACCTCTCCTCCCCTACCCTTTTGGAATCTCTTTTCCCACTCCTGTTCCTGGGTTCCATGTGTTGAGAGTTTTATCTCTTGCCTAAACCTGTGTACATGCTCCCGTCTAGTCTAGATTGGGAAGCGGCACTGGGGTCATGATAGTGGTGGTGGTGGTGGTGGGGAGGAGACCTCAAGGTATCAGAGTTATATTACATGATCCATTAGTGCTCTACTGCACCCTGATTAACTCGTCCCCTCTGTGGGGGTTGCTCCATTGTCCATAGATGGGCTTTGGGTCTCCGCTCTAACTCCCCTCCGTTCTCAGCAATGCATTTTTGTTTGTTTGTTTACTGTTTGTTGATTAAGCGAGTCTTTGATTAAGCGAGGGGCGGTGGTGCGCAGCTGTAGGTGGGAGTGGAGGCAGGTTATCAGCAGACAGTAGGGAAGTTGAGCATGTGTGCACAGATGCAGGGGTGTCGCCACTCTGTGGGGCTGGGCCTTATCTTTTCTCTCTGCAGTCAGTGCTCTGTGAGGGAGTGCTCAGAGGAAGTGTTCAGGCCCCCCATCCTTGCCTGGCCGGCCGCAGGTGCTGGCTTGCTTGTGTGCATCTATTTTGGAGCGAGCGTGTTGTGTTAGGAGTCCCCAGGTGGCGCGGATGGCTGGGCACTCAGCTACTTGCTGAAAGGTGCCATGAAAACCTACTGGGCGAGCTTCCGAAATGCAGTTGATTGGTTGGTCAGACTAGAAAGGCTGCTTCTGAAAGTGCCGAGCTTGGATGCAGCCACGCCCAGACAAGGAGTGGAATCCACGCCAGGACGAGCGCTGGGGCTTTCCCTGTGCCCCAGCTCGCATCCTGCCCTGAGTGTCCACCTCAGTGTCCTAGCACGCTGCACACCAACTCGGCCTGCTCCTTGGTCCGCGTGGCCGAGCACCACCCCTTCTTCTAGACCCAGCCACCAGCTGTGGCCAGAGGCAGGAAGATGTGACCGAAGGGAAACCACGTTATGCTCTGGCAGAGCCTGGCTTCTAACAACAAGTGGAGTCATCTGATGACCCTGGTCTTCTCACGTACCTGGGGTGGGTGTCCCGCCCCGTCTCCAAGTGGTCCTGAGAAGCCACACGTCCTATTCTTTCCCCCAACGATTTTGAAACTCGCTTGCCTGCAACCCAATCTCCTGCTTCCTTCCCAGGATACCCGGAGCCAGAGGTCACCTGGTACAAGGATGACATCGAGCTGGACCGCTACTGTGGCTTGCCGAAATACCAGATCACTCACCAGGGCAACCGGCACACCCTGCAGCTCTACAGGTGAGGGAGAGGGCCTTGGTCCTTTCTCCACCCTTCAGAGGGTCCTAAGGCCCTGAGCCTGCCCTCAGAAGTGGAGTCTGCCACAGAAGATGCCCAGGCAGGGGCTGGGGGTGGAGCGTGGGTTGCTGCTGCTGAGTTGTGCCACCTGGTGAACCCTGGCAGCCTGCCACTGTCTGGGACCTTCTAAGGCCAGGGCAGGAGCATTTCTGACAGCCAGGGAGCTGAGAGCAACAAGAGGAGGGCTTGACCCATGGAAATATTTTCCATGAGGTCATCCGCCAGAAAAAGCTACTGTGTCATCCTTACTTCACGGGTCTGTTTGGGTCACGTACTTCTGCAGGAAGCTCTCCTGGGCCCTGAATCTAAGCCCTCCCAGGACAGTGTGGTCTTGGTCAGCCCCCACTCTTTCTCCAGCCTGTTTCCGCAACTCTAACCAAGGGTGTTGGGTGTGGCGATGTCTGAGATGGCGGGCGTGGGGTGGGGGGTTACTCGGTGTCCAAGCATACACAGCTCTACAAGGCTCTGCATTCGAGAGGTGGGGAGCTGAGGTGGGGGGGGGTGGTGCACAGCTCCCAGGAGAGGAGAGGTGTCACCACATGCTCCCACTTATAGGTGCCAAGAAGAAGATGCCGCCATCTACCAGGCCTCTGCCCAGAATGCCAAGGGCATTGTGTCCTGTTCAGGGGTGTTGGAGGTGGGCACCATGACTGAGTACAAGATCCACCAGCGCTGGTTTGCCAAGCTGAAGCGCAAGGCGGCAGCCAAGATGCGTGAGATCGAGCAGAGCTGGAAGCACGGGAAGGAGGCCGCCAGGGAGGCCGACACGCTGCGCAAGCTCAGCCCTGACCGCTTCCAGAGAAAGAGGCGGCTCAGTGGGGCTGACGTGCCTGTGCCCCCTGCCCCTCCCCAGGAGGTTGAGGGCGGGACCCCCGCAGCCTGGCCGGAGGGAGAGACAGAGCCGGCTCAGCACCCAGGCCTGGGCCTGATCAACAGTTTTGCTCCTGGGGAGGTGACTACCAATGGGGACACAGCCCCTGAGAACGGAGAGGATGGGGAGCACGGTTTGCTGACATACATCTGTGAGGCTATGGAGTTGGGACCCCAGAGAGCCCCCCAAAAGGAGTCCGGGGCCAAGAAGAAAAAGAAAGATGAAGAACCTAAGCAAGGTCAGCAGAAGCCCAAGTTCGAGAAGGCAGCTCAAGTGCCCCGTTCTTCTGAAAACCACGCTCCCCGTTCAGGCGGGCTTGACTCCTGTGGGAGTCAGGGGCCCGTGGACAGGGAGCAGGTTCAGACCCTGCCCAGAGGCAGGGCTGCCCTGGTGCCAGGATCCTCAGGAGCAGTTGGTGCCAGGGAGCCAGCCTCCACCATGGGCACTCAAGACAAGGCCCATGATGCCACTGCTCCAACCCCTGCCCCTGCCTCAGGCTCTGTCCCAGCTCCAGGTTCAGAGCAGAAGGTGTACTTCTCCCCGAAGGACATGGATATGGAGAGCACCCAGGCACATGGGCCTCCGGAGGAGGGCTCCCAGCCCCCGCATAGCAGGGAGTCCCCCTTGTGGAAGGTACCAGGTCAGCCAAGAGTTGAGAAGGAACCTGCTGCCCCTGGCCAGCTCACACCTCCTCCAGCCCCCCAGCCAACGAGGCCTTTCAACAGGAAGAGATTTGCCCCTCCAAAGCCCACGGAGGAGCCCTCTGTCATCAGCAAGCCCGACTCTCCCCTGAGTCCGACTTCAGAACTTGGGCCCCAGGGCACCAGGAAGCCCCCGACTCAAGCCTCTGCCCCAGTGCCAACACCCCCTGCCCGGCGGACACACAGCACCCGGGACAGCTCCCTGCAGGGGCGAGCAGGCCACGGGACTTCGGGAGAGGTAAGTGCCCGGAGGGTGTCCGGTGTTCAGAGCCGCTCTGGGAAGCTGATCTCATGGAAACTCTTGCGGCAACAGTGAGCAATGGACTATTTATGGAAGGGGCTGGTGGGGGTGGGGAGAGAGGGGTGGAGCCCCAGCCAAGAGCAGACCGTAGGCATAGCCTTTCCTCTGGCCACTCTCCAGATGCCAGGCACACGGGCAGCACAGCCTGTCTCTGACCTTTCCTCTGGGAGTGGGGGAGCGCACAGCCAAGGGGACTGGGCCCCTGGGGAACTGGAGGGAAGAACAAGGGTCTGGCGGAGAGGGTTTTCCACGGCTATCCTAAGTCAAGAGGCCGTTGGATGGCGGAAACTGTCGAGCACTTGGCTGCTAACATAAAGGTTCGAGTCTACCCAGGGACCCCTCAGAAGAGAGGCCTGACAATCTCCTGGAGACCCCCACGAGACAATTGTGCCCCCACTCGCCCGGGCTCCTCCGGAGTTGGAATCGGCTTGAGGCAGCAGTGCTCATGGGGGAGACAGGGCAGCAGTGAGTCTTGTAGGCTATAGTACTTACTCCTCAACCCAAATGCTTAGGAGAAAGCTTTCACAAGTTGCCAGTCTGGGCTTTCTTAAGATTCCAGTGTCTGGTATGCCTGCAGTTAAATATGACTCTGCTATTGCTTTGATCTTGAGCAAGTTCATTTGCCTGGCCAAGTCTCATAAAACAGGAATGACCATAATGCCCACCTCATTCCCAAGGGCTGTGAGAAAACCAGGGTGCTTCGCACAGAGCGTGGCACCCAGGAAGAACCCCATAAATGGAGCAGATATGAAACAGGACGGAAGGGGTATGCAGAGGGGGACGGCTTCATGTGGAAACAGGGGTGCGGTCTCTTCATGAAGCGCAGGAGCCAACAGATAAAAGATGATGTTTTATGAGGAGAAAGGGGGCGGGCTGTCCACTCTTCAAAGGAAGGGACAGAGGAGTGGTAACAGTAAGGGTTAAGGCAGTTGATGGGGACCATCCCTCGTGGGCCGTGTTCCACAGCAGGGGCCTGAGGGAGAGCAGTAGTGCACAGGGGTCTGGGGACACTGTTCTACAGCAGGGCAGGAGGAAGACAGGCTTCTTATGAGGGGCTGAAGAGTAGGGGAGAGGCAGACCAAATACATGGGCCGTAGTTAATACCAGTGGCACCAGTTGCGACTCGTGGGGACCCCATCTTCATCAGAGTAGACCTGCCCGCATCGGGTTGCCAGCGGCAGAGTGGCAGGCTTTTCTTCCCAGGCACCTGTAGGGGGACCTGAGCCTGCAGCTTTTTGCTTAGCAGCTCCGTATGTCTGTACTACCCAAGTCTTCCAAGAAACTCTTATACCAAGAAAAGTATTCATTGTTTCGCTGAAATTCTCCGGAACCTGGGCATCCTGTATTCTTTCATACCAAGTCTGGCAGCCCCAGGTGCAAGGAGACTCTGGCTGGGCAGGAACTATGAGGAGATGGTTTCTGGGGGTGGCAGCTGCTCTGTGAAGGAACAGAAGAACTGGAGGAAGGCAGTGGCGTGCGTGGGGGGCAGAGGTCAGAGGAGAGAGGGCTTAAGGAAGGGAAACAGGAGGGGCACGCTGAGACAGCCCCATCAGGGAGGGCTGAGGAAAAGCAAGTTTCCTGGGGAACAAACAGGGTGAGGCCATGTGTCCCTTGGAAAGACATTTCCTGCGGGGAAGGAGGAGGAGGCCAGTGGCATGGGAGACGTGAAGAGATGGCTTTGTTCCGTGGGGACTGCACTGGACTCTGGGGACAGTAGTTCAGAGGATTTTGGCAGGGGGAAAACTCAGGGGCCCCGGCCCCGTCATGCTTAGTCTCAGGTGACTTTGGCTCCCAGATGGCACATTCTGGAGGCCTTGGGAGAGCTAGCGGGGCTGCCCCAAGTGCTGCCAGCCCACAGGCTGGACAGGGCCTTACTGTAAGGATGGCCCCACAGGGCCCCCAGGGAGCTCATTTGGGAAGTGACCAGGCTGTCGGCCAAGTCTATGTGGGAATCTGGCTGCTCCACCCACAGAGGTGGGGATCATCCAGCCAGCATGGCTGCATCCTCCTGCCAGGGCCACTGGGGGCTGTGCCAGGCTCTCCCGGCGCCGGCGAGGACAATGCTGGCCAGGAGGAGAGCCACCTATGGTGGCTTTGCTGTCCTTACAAGGAGGCGTGTTGTTGTTTCTTCTTCTTTAAAAATGTAATATTTAATGTCAAGTAAAAACGTGTATTTTGATGTTGCTTTTTAAAGGCTGAGTTTAATACTTTTCATCCTATTAAATCTCAAAAGAAAACAAAAATCTTTGTCTGATTTTAAAAGATTTCAAAGGGTCCCTCTAGAAGGCAAAGTAGAGTATTCTAATGGAATGCGCAAAGACCCGGAGTCAGACAGCCAGGGAAGAACCTGCGCAGCATGTCCCGCGCTGGAAGATCGGGAGACCAAACACCATGCCTCAAGTTGCAATCTTGATGAATTCGATGGGCAAAATGCTGCATGCTGCAGGAAGCATCAAAAGAAGAAAGGGTGGAACACGCAGAGCCACCGTACCAGAGCGCTGATTGGTGGTCATTTCAGGATGGAGCATATGATCAAGAACTAATGACACTGAAGGGAAATTCTGACTGCACTGAAAGCAGCTGGCCCAAAACATAGCTCCAGGAATTGACAGAAAACCAATTGAGATGTTTCAACA